AGTGATAATCTAATGTCAACAAACAGTCCAAGAAGTGAGGCTGATTTTTCTTGGGGTGATTCGAGTCATCAGACTTCTTCTGGATAATTCAATACTTGAGGACACGATTAAAGAAGAAAAAGAGGCCAAAATCATACATGTGATAATATTCCAATAATATCTATTACTATACATAAAACACAATGTAATTTCATTTTCAGATTTTGTTTTTGACGTTTGGAATTCTGCTACAAAAGTTTTTAATCAGTTTTTCTTCTGTGAAAGCCAAAAAAAATTAATTACAGCCAAATTCGATTACTCCAATTTCTTGTGTTATTTATCAAAAGTAGCTGTGGAAAATGCAAAAATTGGCATGATAAGGTATATACTGATCAGTCAAAAAATTGGGGAGGTGTCACTGTGCTGCCATTGTTAAGTGCTTGTTTGTTTGTGCCCAATTATTTGTGGGTAATGTATTATGGAATAGTGATTGATGTTAAAATGTGAGGTTAAAAAAGAAAGAAAAGTTTTTATTTACGTGTAATATTATTTTAATGATGGATGTGTGGTTGAAAATGAGTACTAAAGAAAAAATAATGTGGAAGAATGGAAGACAAACAAAACCTAAAATGAAATGAACCCACGGAGGCTGTGAAAATATTTTTTTCGATTTAAATTGTCTCAAGTGCACGGTTCATTAACAAGTAGTAAAATAGATTTTTTTTTAGTCTAAGTATCGTTCTCACAGGGTTGTACTAGTTCAAATTCGAATTAGTTTAACCTTAACTAAAACAATGAAAATTTATTATTTTTCTATAACTAAATTTTAACTACTTAAATTACATATGAATGCATGAACTAAATTAATTAAAATCAATGCAAGGTTATAATTAAATGCAATTTTTGTAAAAATATGATGATGAAAAACGTAGTAAGATCTTGAATCCCTTATATCAATCCTCTTTAATTCTGAATTTTATGAATTTGACAACACGATTTAATTATGAAGATCAATATTTCTAATTATTTTAACAATCTCTTTCAAATAGAATTAAACATATTCTTATATGTAACTAGATTATATTTATACGACGGATGCGAACAAGCAAAAATACGTTAAGGATTTATGAATACATAAAAATCACGTAAAGCATAGTCGTTTATTAGTTTAACTTATTTCAATCTTTCTAAGGTAAATCAAGCCACAAAACCCATACAATTAATGCTCATATAATTGTAGAGAAAATTAAATCAATATCAATTATGAAAAATTGAAAACGTGATTTGAATGTCAAAAATAAGTGAAATTCAAAATTCAATGTTCATGATATATGTTTCATTGTAATTCTAGCACAAAAATAATGTAGCTACTCATAATGTTGGAATTAAAGAAATAAAAATATGGCAACGATCTCATCATGATGCAGGAGGGTCCGAGTCGAGTGATACTAATCTGTCAGATAGCACGTTGATGGTGCTGAGATACCATGAGATGGCTGATCGACGCAAAGATGAAAAATAAATGCAATCTTTTCTTAATTTGGACAATTTTGACACGTTTTTGATAATTTGGCAATAACTTTGGCTACGGCTATCAGAATCGCTATTATGACCCCAATCCGGAAAGCTCTTTTCGGCATGCACATTGTGGTCACCAAGGCTATGCTCGATGAGCATCAATTTTGAGCCTAAAATCAGCTTTTTTGCTTTCTGAAATTCAAATTTTAGTTAACTTTTACTATTTATGGTAATATTTTTGTTTCCTTTTTTCTATATGTTAGAGAATTTTAATTGAGCCAAATTCTTGGCAACTTACTTCTTTTGTTTCATAGTTTATTTCATTGTAATTTTTGGAATTTTCCATATTTTTGAATTTTCTTAACTATTTAACCCGGCTTGTGGGTTAATTTTCGTCGTTCTGCATTGATAATAAAATTGAGTTAATTACAAAGAATTTCTCTGTATTTTATGGGGCACATTCATTTTTACTTTTCTTTGTGAATCATCTATTGCAACGAGCTTGTAGGATAATCATTATTTTACACAGCGTGAATTGGTATCAGAACGTCAACATCTTTCTAGGGTGAATTTCCATTGGTTGCAATGGTTGGTGGATGTGGTCGTGGTCGTCGAGGGCGTGTTCCAATTGAGGAAGTCCCACACCACGATTGCAATGTTCAAAATGTGACAATTTGTAGAGACAAGTTGCGGAGTTAGCCCAACGTCTGACGGAAAAGGAGTTCGGTAATAATGATGTGGAGGGTCACGATTTCGATACCACTGTTGAAAACCCGTATCATAATCGTGCTCGAATCCGGGAGCATCGTAGACGAGAGGATCGCCATGTGGACCTCGATTTCAGAGTGGATTTACCCGAGTTCTCTGGTACGTTACAAGCTGAAGGTTTTATTGATTGACTGAATGAAGTGAAGCGAATTTTTTAGTATAAGGAGGTTCCAGATCCTGTCAAGGTAAAATTAGTCGCCATCAAACCTAAGAGCTTCTATATGGTGGGAACAATTGAAGCGTTCGTGAGAGCTACAAGGCAAGTCTAAGATCACTGATAGGGAGAAGATGAAAAAGAAGATGAAAGGGCACTTTTTTCCTTTTGGTTACACTCAGACTTTATTTCAGCGGCTCCATTCCTTGAGGCAAAGTACAAGATCAGTTAATAATTATATGGAGGAGTTCTATCAATTGGTAGCCAGGAACGATTTATCTGAAACGAAATAATAGATGGTTGCACGGTATGTAGGGGATTAAGGCAGCCCCTGCAGGATGTTCTAAGACTTCATTCATTGGGGACAGTGTCTGAAGTATACCAGCGTTCACTTTCCGTGGAAAAGTAGCAAAATAGGATGTCAGTGATCAGAAATGAAAGTAGGCGGTCAGTTCGCCCTCAAGCATCTCAACCTGCCTATCAACCCCTGCAGGACAATCCTAACTCAGGTATTAAGTATTTCAAATGTGGTGAACAGGAAATAGGGCGACCGATTGCAAGAAGCCGGTTGGTCAAAAAATAAAAATCTTCTAATTGAAGAGGAAATGATAGAGGAGCTCGAGGAGGTTGGCAAGCCTGTATATGATGATGGTGAAGATGAGGATGTGCTATAGTCGTTCACAAGAGTCTGCTAACTCCCAAGGCCGATTCAAGAGACGATTGGTTGAGGACAAATGTTTTCCACATAACCTGTACAATTGCCAATAAAGTTTACAAGTTGATCATTCATAGTGGTGGTTGTGAAAATGTAGTGTTTGAAGAGGCTATCTAGAAACTACAACTGAAGATAGATCATCATCCCAAGCCGTACAAATTATCGTGGTTGAATAAAAGCAATGATGTAACAGTAGAAAAACGTTGTCTAGTGTCTTTTTCGATTGAAAAAAAATATTTTGATAATGTTCGGTGTGATGTGGTAAATGTGTGTCATGTATTGTTGGGACAACCTTAGCAATATGATCGCAGCATTATTCATGATGGGCGGAAGAATACATACTCCCTTAGCATCAAAGGAAAGAAAATTATTTTGGCACCTCGCAGGGAAGAAACCACCCCTGCCTCGATAGTTAATGATACAACCTGCTTTTATGTCCAAATTCTTAGTAGAGGTTGGGCATGAAGAAATAGTATATGCTCTACAGCCCCGTGAGAATAGTGAAGTGAATGAGGATTCAAATTTACCAACAGAAGTGCAACAACTGTTAATGGAGTTTTTTGACTTAATGCAAGATGATCTTCCTCCGAGGATACCACCTATGAGAGATATTCAACATCAGATCGACCTTATTTTGGGATTGAGTCTGTCAAATCGACCAGCGTATCGCCTCAGTCCCAAGGAAGCTGAAGAGTTGTAGTGATAGGTGGTAGAATTATTGGAGAGAGGCTACATTCGTGAAAGTATGAGTCCATATGCAGTTACTATTCTACTAGTACTGAAGAAAGATGAGTCGTGGCAGATGTGTGTTGACAGTAGAGCAATTAACAATGAAGTATAGATTTCTAATTCCCGTCTGGATCACATGTTAGATTAGTTGTCAGAATTAGGCCTGGAGATGAGTGAAGACGACGTTTAAGACGTAGCATGGATTGTACGAGCTGATAGTCATGCCCTTTGGACTATCCAATGCGCCCAGCACTTTTATGAGGTTTAATCATTAGGTTTTACGACCTTTCGTGGGGAAGTTTATGGTAGTCTACTTTGACAACTTATTTATACTCTGACGTAGGAGTCACGTTTTGATTATCTTATGCTATTTTTGATGTAATGAAGACGGAGCGCTTATTCATCAATCAGAATAAATGTTCTTTCTTCACAACTTCTATAACTTGTTTGGGTTTTGTTGTGTCTACTGATGGTGTTCATACAAATCAATCCAAATTTGAGGCAGTTTTGAATTGGCCTAAGCCAAAAAGTTTGCACAATGTCAGAAGTTTCCATGGATTGACATCCTTCTACCGTCAGTTCATTAGAAATTTTAGCACTCTGATTGCTCTTATCACAGAGTACCTTAAAGGGCGTGATTTTTAGTAGGCCGAAGAAATAGAGGCCAGCTTTCCATTAGTTAAACAGAAGATGACAGAAGCCCCAGTCTTGGCACTTCCGGATTTTGAAAAGGTGTTCGAAGTAAACTGTAATGCATCTGGAGTTGGCATTGGTGGTTTTCTGAGTCAAGAGGGGCATCCAATAGCCTTTTTAGTGAGAAGCTGTCAGGATCGAAGAAAAATTATTCCATCTATGATCTGGAGTTCTATGTCATAGTTTAGACTTATAAGCATTGGCGTCATTACTTGGTACAGAGGGAGTTCATCCTTGTTATTGATCATGAGGGCTTGAAGTATATCATGATCAGCACAAGCTGAGTAGGCGATATGCAAAATGGGTAGCGTACTTGTAGGAGTTTACATTTACACAAAGGCATCAAGCAGGGAGTTTGAATTGGGTAGCAAACGCATTGAGCCATCGTACATTACTCCTCACCACCATGAGCACCAGAGTTGTCAGATTTGAAGCATTTCCTAATATGTATGCTGCAAATCCTTCCTTCGGGAAGATAATTAAGGAGGTAAATGATAATCACCGACATGATTTTGTTTTGTATGATGGTTATCTATTTTGTGGATTGCAGTTGTGCATTCCAAAGTATTCACTAAGGCAGCAGATCATTAGTGAACTTCATAACGAGGGACATTTTGGACGAGATAAGATATTGGCATTAGTCTCTTTTGATTATTATTGGCCCAAATTGAGCAATGACGTGGCGCATTATGTGGAACGGTGTTATGTATGTCAGAAGTCCAAAGGACCTCTTACTAATGCTAGACTATATACGCCATTACCTGTACCTGAGGCCTCTTGGCTTGATGTGAGCATGTATTTTATATTGGGCTTACCTCGTACACAATGGGCGATAGATTCCATTCTTGTTGTGACATGTTTTCAAAGATGGTTCATTTTGTGGCTTGCCGGAAGATGATGGATGCTACTCTGATTGCTTATCTTTATTTCAGGAAAATTGTGCGTTTACATGGTGTTCACCAGTAAATCACTTCTGATCGTGACACCAAGTTCATGAGTCATTTCTAGAGGAGCTTGTTGGAAAAGTTGGGAACGAAGTTAAATTTTAGCAGCGCCTACCACTCCCAAACAGATGGTCAGACAGAGGTGGTAAATCGGAGTTTGGGAAATCTTTTGAGAAGTTTGGCATGGACTAAACCGAAGTAGTGAGATTTAGCATTGCCTCAAGCAGAATTTTCCTATAACCGATCGAAGAATAGAACCACAAGATTAAGTCCATTTGAGGTTGTCTATGGTTGAAACCCATCCGGAGTACTTGACTTATCCCCTATCCCACGTGTGGGTCGTTTGAATCACAAGGCTGATAAGATGGCAGAACGTCTTCGGGGTATCCATGAACAGATGAAGTTGTCCATTCAGGAGAATAATTTCAAGTATAAGGCTCAAGTAGATAGTCACCATCGTCAGGTGCTCTTTGATGTTGGTGATTTTGTGTCGGCAGTATTAACTTGTGATCGTTTTCTAAATAGGGAGCATAATAAGCTTAAGAAGCAGAAGATTGGACTATGTGAAGTGCGGTAAAAGATCAATGATAATGCTTATAGGCTACGCCATCCTGGCCGTTTGAAGATTTCCGATGTCTTTAATGTGAAACATCTAAGTCCATGTTTTGTCGAGTCCAATAAAGCTAATGTGAACTCGAGGGCGAGTTCTTTTCAACTTGGGACGACTGATGCAGGAGGATCCGAGTTGAGTGATATTGATCTGTCAAATAGCACGTTGATGGCACTAAGATACAAGAGATGGCGGATCGGGGCAAAGATGGAAAATAAATGCAATCTTTCTTTAATTGGGACAATTTTGATACGTTTTTTGTAATTTGGTCATAATTTTGACTACGGTTATCAGAATCGCTATTATGACCCCAATTCGAAAAGCTCTTTTCGGCGCGCACGTCGTCATCACCAAGACTATGCTCGATGAGCATCAATTTTGAGCCTAAAATTCACTGTTTTCCTTTTTGAAATTCAAATTTTAGTGATTTTTTACTATTTATGGTAATATTTTGTTTCCTCTTTTCTGTATGTTAGAGAATCCTGATTGAGCCATATTTTTAGCAACTTACTTCTTTTGTTTCATATTTTATTTCGGTGTGATTTTTGGGATTTTGCCATTTTTGTTAAATTTTCCATATTTTCGAATTTTCTTAACTATTTAACCCGGCTTGTGAGTTAATTTTCGTCATTCTACATTGATAATAAAATTGAGTTAATTACAGAGAATTTCTCCGTGTTTTATGAGGCGTTTTCTTTCGTACTTCACTTTGTAAATTATTGGTTGCAACGAGCCTGTAGGATAATTCACTATCCTATCCGGTGTCACATCACTAGCTGCATAGGTGATAATCCCCATTCATGCTAGCTAATAGTACTCATTTTGGCAATGTAAAAGATCACTAGTGGTAATTATCAAGTCTTCATGAAGAGGAATCCTCTATTCTCCGTCCAATTAGAATGGAGTTGTGATACGTTGAACAATGAATCAAGGAGTCTAAGGCTTTGTTTGTCTACTGTTTTTCCATATTCTACCACATTATTGTTTTTACAGTACTCATTTTCAACCACAGATTCTTCATTAAAATAATATTAAACGTAAATAAAAAATTTTCTTAAAAAAATTTTCTTTCTTTTGTAACCACACATTTCAACATCAATCATTATTCCATAATACATTACTCACAAATAATGGGGCACAAACAAGCACTAAAACTGGTGATGATCAAAATGAAAATTAAGCCCTTATTTGGGCCCCTTTTTGGGTAAAAATGCATTTTAGAATAGCGTTTTGTAAGAAAATGTGTAGTAAAACAATAAGAAAAAGTTTTGAATTTACATTTAAAATTATTTTATTGTAAAATGTGTGATTGAAAATAAGTTTTTAAAAAAATGATTTTTTCAGAGAATGGGAGGCGAACATAGTTTAAATATCAATATTCTATGAATAATGTTAGTTCAGGTGGTTGTGTGTTCCATGATTTCATTGTTTAATAGGTTATGATAAAATTTTCAAGATAATCTTCCAAACCTTACGCAATCCAAGTCTCACCATTTTTTATTTTATTTTTTATTTTTATTTTTTTAAATTTTTGAAGAGACAGAGCCGAACCTCACTATTGTCATTGGTCAGAGGTAGGATGGTTCCAAGTTTTTTGACAAATTCAAATAAATCTTAAAAATGGCACAATGTCGGCTGTGGATTCCGACACCGACGCCATTAGCTCGAAAACGTGTCTTAGGTTCTCATTTTCAGATTCCAAAACCGGTGCTTTTGTATTCGAATTCCCACTTCAATCTTTGACTCTTTTCTGCTTATTTTCAGTGCTCAATTCGACTTTTTTTTCTCTTTAATTAATTTCCCCAGCTCTTCAAATTCATAGGTGAGAATAATGTATTTGATTCATTGTTCTCACCTGGTTTTAATAGAGAGCAAGAGATGTCAGAAATGGTGGCATTTGACTCATGTGGTGGCAGGTGATGCGAATGAAATGGTGGTGGAGGCAAGCAGCAGAGGTGGTAGTGGTGGTGGCGGTGGCGCCACTGCAGCTGTTAGTTCTACATCTGCATGGGCGTGGAGTGTTGGAGATAAGAGGGGACGTGAAGAGCACATGAATGAGCAGATTTCAGAACCAGTTACAACATTTTGCAGGGCATATAGTGATTTTTCTATTGAAAGTTCCGCAATGGGATCAGGTAGTTACATAAATACATACATTATATATCGAGAAATGTCCCTAAGTGTGTAAACGAACATATCAAATATTCTTTCCCGATTTGGTGTGGATTAAAATTAAATTTTAATAAATTTTGATAAAATTAGATTGAAATGGTTGCAGGTCCATAAAATATTATTAAAATTTATTATTAATTTTGACTTAAAATTTAATCTATATTTAATCACGTATCTTCCCATAACATTCCCACGTTGCTAGTTTATTGTTTGCAGCATATTACAAACTAAAAAAAATGTTGACATTCAATTTATATAAATACTTTTCGTCGTCGTCGTCGTCCTCGTAATTGTCTTTATATGAATACATGTATGTATCACCTAAGAAAATATTGCATGCAAAACCATAAAAGTTCTAGAATGAAGCCCTACACCGGATTGAACATCATTTTGAATGAGATTTTAACTTGTTTTTTATTTTTTCATTTCCATAAGCTGGAAAAGTTGAATAAATCTTTATTGGGACATCCATTGATCTAATATTTTAGTCTATGCACTCAGGGGCGGATCCAGTACCTGGCGAGCTAGGGCGGCCGCCCTAGCTGGATCCGTCGGAGTCTTCATAGCCGCCGGGACCAACGAGTGGAAGTTGCAGTCTCCAGAAGCTTGAGCGCAGAATGGAAGGGAAGACAACAGAGTCACAGATGATTAAATTATGTTGCAACCGACAGCTTGGTTTGCACTTTGCAGTTGCAGACTTGCTCAGCCATGGAGGAAGTTGCAGACACAGGAAGAAGAACCGAAGAAGACAACGGTTTTTTTTTTCATTTTTCTTTTGGGCTGATGACAATTGAATGGGATGGGCCTTTTTTGTTTAAAAACAATAGGCCCAAATCCAATTGCCAAAATCCAAATCAATGAATCATTATCAATTCATGGCCATTTTCAATTTCCCCTAAATCATAAAAGGCAAACCTAAGGGCGAAGGGCGATTAGCAGAGGCTGAAGCGCGATTGAAACCACAAAGTTGCAAACTCTTTACCTAATTGCCTAATTCCATAATCAGTGGCGATTGGCGAATCCATTCGAAGCAGTAGATTTGGTAGTATTTTATATTGTCCAAGGATCCTATTGCTTTATTTTCACAAAGTTTCGTTTCTTGGAATTTATTGACAATTCTGGCCTCTCTGGGCAGAAATGCAGGGGATTTTTTGGAATTCTTGTATAATCTTGAGCTCTGATTGATCTACTTGAATTTGTGGGTTTTCAAGCATTCGAAGTGTCTTTTACATTTATAATGGAAGTTCTACCTTTTTTTAGCTTTTTTATTACATTATAATAATAATAATTATTATTATTATAAGTTTATACTTTCTGTGTTAATATTTGTTGTGTTAGGGCCATTTACGGAGAAGGGTATTCATAAATTCTATCTCTTTGTGGGGGTTGGAAGCTTATTGTTGTATTCTCAGTGTGTAAGCAGGTGAATTTTCCCAATTAAAGAGGACGAATTTTATGGTCAAAGAAGAAGATTTAGTGGTGAACTTAATTAGATTGTTGAAAGTTTTGTGCTTTACATATTTTGAGCCGAGCTGCGAGTACGAGGACATCGACTTCGTGTTGAATTATATGTGAGTGGCCTTGAGCCTTGACACCCTGACCACGACCTTGTATGGTATTATTTATTTATTAGGCTAATTTTGCCAATCAATTTGAGCATTTTCTGGCCAATGCAGGTCAACTATCTTGCTGATTGTAGTCTTGAGATTTTGGATGATCCTTTGGTGACAGCACTGCTCAAGGTACTTAAGTTTCGTTAATTTAACTTTGAAATTGTGACATTATTCTTAAGTATGGACTTGGACTTTTTAGCTAGTTGGTCATCTGTTACCTTTTATAGTCATACAAAAGAAATACTAGGTCTGTGAAAGATTCTATTGTAGAGTTTTTTTTCTAGAACTGTTGATATTGCTTGCATATTAGGAGTCTCTACTCCGGAGGCTAAGATGTATAGCCAATAACCTGTGACTTAAGATATATAAAAGTTATTAAGAAGATCAATAGATCATGGATCACAGACATTAGAAACATTATTTTCTCTTGGTCTTCATAATTCTTGAGGAAGGGCACTCTATTATAGTGGTTGACTGTTGACGGTCAAAGGTCAACTACCGACCGCCCTAGCTGACTTCCATTTCTGGATTCGCCACTGTATGCACTACAACAAAACTATGATTTTGCGATAAGTTTTTTTATGACATACAAAAAGTTGTCGCAATAAGTGACTTAACACGACACATTTTTAAAGTTTGTGGCAAAGATTGTGATGAAAAAAATAAGTGTCAAAAATTACAAGACGACATAAAAAGTTATCGTGAAATGTGGGAAGTTGCGACAAATAATAAATAATGTCGCCAAAAATATGAGGGAAGTAAGGCGCCAAAATATTTTTGGTGGGAAATTTATGGCAACAAACATTTTTTTCTTGCAACAAAATGCTTGTGATGCAATAGGGTCTCCTTTTGGCGATAAAAAAATATTTGTTGCTAAAAATTCTATAGTTGAAGAAAGGCTACAAGAAAATAATTTTTTTGCAACAAACAAAAGATATTGCAGTAGATTTTTTACAATGCTCGCCCATATATTGTAGACTCTAATATTGTCGTAGAGTTGGAGAATACTGCATTGTGCAATGCATGCTGCAAAAATCATCAAATGTACGTTGTAAAATTTTTATGATGTACCTCATCCGTTTATTTTATTTTATTTTGTACCATTCTTTACTTGCTATTTTAACCTTTTTCTAATGTTAATTTATTTATTTATTTTTTTGTAATAAGTGTTTGATTTATCGTCTGGCTAAATTTTAATATGTAATACAAACTTTTAAAATTTTTAATTATTTCTTATCAAGAGCAAAATTTTTATAATAAAAACTGTATAAAATTTCTGAAAAAATTTATTCCCAGAAAATTTAAGAAAAATGCATTAGACGATTAACCTTTCAATCACATAATAACTTATAAATTACTAGGTTGAACCAATCTATAAAGGAAAATAAATGTCTCAACAATTAAAGCAA